GTATTTAAGCGATATATTAATATTTTTAATGAAGAGAAAGCAATATAATATAAAACTTATATAATATTCTTTTTAATAAATTTTTAATAATTTTTATATTTTTTTTAATAAACTTTTTTTATAAACTTTTTAATTTTTCTTAATAAACATTTTAATTTTTTTTAATAAGCTTTTTAATTTTTTTTAATTTTTTTTGTTAATTTTTTTATCAAATTTTCAATTATACAAAATAATTATTACTGATTTTATTAATAACTCAATATTTGTATTTAAGTGATATATTAAACATATTTTTAATGAAAAGAAAACAATATATAATAAACTTATTTAATATTCTTTTTAATAAAATTTTTAGTAAATTTATTCAACGCATGGTGCAATAAATGTTATACATCGCCTGGTATATCATGTGATATCACATGACATCGCTTTATTAATTAATTAGTAATTACAATTAATAAAAATTAAAAAATTACAGTTACTGGCATATATCAATACTAATTTATATACATTTAATAATTATCTAACTTATTATTCAACATTACTATAGACATTATAACTTTTGTTATACGTTCTCTTTGCCAGGACACTTAGGAGCATAATGGCCTGTTTTGTGACACAAACCACATTTACGTTCACCTACATTGTTTTTTTCATTTTTTTCATAACCAACATTAATTTGTTGTCTCCTACTAGTGCCTGCTTTATTTGTTTCCTCATTAAAAGCTCTTAATCGTTTTGTAGGAGGTCTGCCTTTACCACGATGTGCTAATGGATCCTTAATATCACTAGCATTATAAACACGTCCATCAGATAACTTTACAATATCATCCGAAGTTTGATGTCCTTCAATAACAGCCAATTGAGTGTTTTCACGCTGTTTTTCTTTATTAGCAATGTAAGATAAGATCAGATTGTCTAAATTCTTTTGATCATTTTCTTCTATTGAATAATTTAATGCTTTCTTAAAATGGCCCATAATTCGACCATATTCCATCTTTTTCTACATCTGATGGCGAACTTGAACTTCTTGAACATTGTTATAATGTCTAGGAATAAATCCTTGTAAAGTAGTATTCTGAGACTTATGACCACCTGCACTAATAAAAGGCTCATTATAAAGAGATTCTATATTTTCCCATGCATTATCTTGCAACCACCTTGCTGACATTAGCAAAATATGAAATACAGCATCCTGATTTTCTACCATTAGCTTGAAGTAATGACGACAAATAATTCCATGGGAAAACAATAACAAACAGGTACACAAATGGGTACCATCATTAAGTATAATAATATGTTGGTAAGTTTTTGTTGTCATATAAGGAATAATTCGCCAAATCTCCCTAATTGAACCTCTTGAAGTTGATTTTAATAATGCCTTCAAATAAACCTGTCAATAGTCATAGCAATCTTCATTATTTTTAATAATCTCAGCCTCACTTGTTATATCTAGATCCTAGAGTAAAAAGAAATGTTAAATAATATACAAAAACAAATTCAATACAATAATATTGAATATTCTCACCATCTGATCCATACTATTTTTAGCTAGGTCATCCTGGTACTAAAAAAGAAAGTAAAATTCATTAATAAAATATCTTTCTGATCCTATTCACGATCCTAAACCTAAAACAACACCATAACCCACATTCTAATCTAATTCTAAACCCACACCCTAACCTAACCCTAACCCCAAATCTAACTCTAAACCCGTACCTAATCCTAACCCTAATCCTAACCCTAAATCCACACCTAACCCTAACCCTAAACCCGCACCCTAACCCTAATCCTAACTCACACCTAATCTTAATTCTCACCCTAAATACACCTAATTCTAATAAAAATTCTTACCAATTGATCATCATCAAACGCAAAAGCCTCATCAATATCTATTCTTTCACATCTATAAAGTATAGACTCACACATTTGTTTATGAATCTCTTCGACAATTCGTGGGGAAAAATACTTCTTGATCTCACTATTAATCTTACTAAAAAAACTTTCTATAACAAATGGTTGATGATAAACTGTTGTGTTATATTTCCATGCAATAAAACTTTTATTTAATGCTTCTTTTTGCATTCGAGAATCCAAAGCTTCAACTACATCAGCCATACTGGAACTAGAAGCAACTGCTTTATGAACAACCGCATTAATAGATTCAACCCGCTGTGTAGATTGCATTCCTGCTGTAAATATTCGATTTGTAAAGGCACAAGCCCAAGATTCTCGAATTGAGTAAATAGTATTACATAAGTATTCATTACCATTAGGATACTTTTCTAATAAAGATTGAAATCGTTGTTCAAAAACATCAACACACAATGAGTTTCGTGTTTTCCAAAAGTCATGTATAAAGGATTTGAAATTTGTATTTCCAAGCTTTGATCTAAGCCTCTTCGGTAAATTTTGTGACAAGTGCCATATACAATGTACATGATATGCATTTTTATATACAACGTGACATGCAGCATCCATTGCGGGATCCATATCAGTCATTATTACTTGTGGTTCTATACCGGTAGCATCTAAAGTCTGTTGTAAGATCCATTCATAGCTTTCTTGAGTTTCATCATTCAAGAAAGCTTGTGCTCCTAAACGCGATTTGCCATCACTATCAACAAGAATAAACAATGATAAAGGGTAATTATATTTGTTTGTTCTTGAGGTATTGTCATGTAAGATGACATCTGAATATCGAGACCACAATAAGATTTGGTTAGCCGTCATCCAAAATATACCACACAAACGATTGCTATCTACATTAATTAATGGTTGGACAACCATTGTAGGCTCATCCTTTTGTTGTTTAAGAAGAAATTTCAGCAATTGTGACGCATCAGATCCAGCAACCTTTTTTTCTCGTTTGATCTTTTGAATTGCATTTGAGAGATCTTGCGTAAGAAATAATTGGTTTGGAAATAGAGGCTGTAATAAATTTCTTATGGTATGTGCATCACAATGTCCATGTACAACTGCATGTTCTATTTGGGACATTATCTCATTATCAAATTTCCGAAATGAAGTGGCAAACCTTGTATTATCAGCATTTATAGTATGGTTATGTTCAAGATAAACGAAAGTTATATGTATAAAACCATTACTTTCAGGTTTGCTCAAATTGATATGCCATTTGCAGTTCGTTTTCTTTGACCCTTTATTACGTTGTTGTTCAATAGGCCTTGTTTTATTAGGTTTATATCTCCCAGCATTCTCACAAGCAAATGTTCTCTTTTTAACAATACGATTATTAGGGTCAGCAGATGATTTGCTATATTCAACTCTGTAACGATTAACTACAAATCCTTTCTGTCTTCCGTATTCCTTTAAGTAGTGTTCAGCGATTATCCAAGAACTAAAGCGTGTCCCAACAGATAATTCTATAGGTTGAGCTAACAATGGATAATTTGAAGCTTCTTGTCCTTCAAGCTCCAGTCCTAAAATGGGTCCCGAAGTTATATTACTTTCATCATTATTCTTGACATCTATATACAAATACACAGTTATTACACTTATTTCAAAGACAAATAGTAAAGATAGAGGAAAAAAATAAAATAAATACATACCTTCAATGACTTCTATAGTTTCTTCGAGATTAAATTCTTCAGCTAGTGTACCTACATTAAAGTATTTAGAGCAACTATAGTCTCTAGAACGTCAAAATAAAATAAAATATTTTTTTTACCTTGAGTATTGTCGTACAGACATTCCATTTTCGATTTTTGTACGTACTGAAAGAAGAGGTTGCAACACGAAATTTGAGTCGATAAAATCAATCATATAAATATTATCTAAGCCACTATGACTACTGTATGACGACATAAATCAATAAATTTAAACACGTGATGATAATGCAACACGGTGATAATATCGCACCCGCAGTATATAAATTTACTATAAAATTTTTTATAATTTTTATAGGAATATGTTTTTTTTTCACCTGCAATATGTCACATCTTCCTTTTTTTTGGTAATTTTTATATATTAATTATGTTGATCATTTTGATCACATGACTTTGTTAAGATTTTCCATTTTTTTAAAAAATCCTGGTGTGAAACCTTATGCACTTATTATGTACTATAAGAAACCTTATACTATATGTATTTTTGACCGCTCTGCAAGTTTTCTTAATATATCAAAAGAGATTTAGATTGTCATTTTGACTTTTATATGTAATGTGTTATAGGAATGCGACATAACACAGGTGTGATAAAAAATAAAACCCATTTTTATATTTTTATTTTTTAATTTTTCTTAAAAAACTTTTTTTTCTTTTAACTTTTTTTAATAAACTTTTTAATTTTTTTTGTTTTTTTTTTATCAAATTATTTTCAATTATACAAAATGATTAAATATTTGTATTTAAACGATATATTAATATTTTTAATAGTGAGAAAGCAATATATGATAAAACTTATATAATATTCTTTTTAAATAATTTTTATATTTTTTTTAATAAATTACAATAAACTTTTTTTATAAACTTTTTAATTTTTCTTAATGAACATTTTAATTTTTTTTTTTTTTTTTTCAAATTTTCAATTACAATCAACCCTTGTTATAACGAACCCTAGATTCCAGACCTCAACTTCACTATATAGTTATAGTGAAGATTTTAAGAAATTTAATTGGTTAATTCATTATAACAAGGGGAAATTTATTATAGTTGTCTGAAAAATTCACTATATCAAGGGTTGACTGTATACAAAATAATTATCAATTTTACTAATAGCTAGCATTTTCCAATATCTGTATTTAAGCGATATATTAATGTTTTTAATGAAAAGAAAGCAATATATAATAAAACTTATATAATATTTTTTTTAAATAATTTTTATATTTTTTTTAATAAATTATAATAAACTTTTTTATAAACTTTTTAATTTTTCTTAATAAACATTTTAATTTTTTTTTAATAAGCTTTTTAATTTTTTTAATAAACATTTTAATTTTTTTTTTTTTTAACAAATTTTTAATTATACAAAATAATTATTAATTTTACTAATGGCTTAATATTTGTATTTAAGTAATATATTAAATATGTTTTTAATAAAAAGAAAACAATATATACAATATATAATGAACTTATTTAATATTCTTTTTAATAAATTTTTTTATAATTTTTATAGAAATATGTTTTTTTTTCACCTGCAATATGTCACATCTTCCTTTTTTTTGGTAATTTTTATATATTAATTATGTTGATCATTTTGATCACATGACTTTGTTAAGATTTTCCATTTTTTTAAAAAATCCTGGTGTGAAACCTTATGCACTTATTATGTACTATAAGAAACCTTATACTATATGTATTTTTGACCGCTCTGCAAGTTTTCTTAATATATCAAAAGAGATTTA